CCCCCTCCCTCCTGTGCCTGATGCCTTGAGAACATCACGTTGACCTACTGAAGATTGCAGTAGATTAATCATAGCATTTTTATATTCAACAATTGACATCTTTACTTCCTAGTTATGTATATGTGTGTAATAGATTCCTATATCTCTCGTAGCTTTCTCAACGGAATTTACTCTTTATTTTATTTACTCTTAAATAGACACTTTAATAAACAAGTTAATAACTCATATGGCTCTGTCATTGTGTTGACAATTATTTGTGATCGAAGATATATAATTAAGAATCATGGATATAACGCTTTTAAGTGTGATGTGGAAACACGACTTCCGGGTCGAGAACGAAAAGCACTTCTATGAAGTATTTTTTCACTCTTTCTTCAAGACAGGAATTAATTGTTGTTCAAAGTTCAAATTGTCTCAGGTGGAAGATAATTCATTGAGAACATTTTGCTCGCGGTTTTTCTGAGAAGTTAGCCCCGGAAATGCGTAACAACTTCGAAGCTTCATACATGACTATGAAGTGAGCAATGAATGATAAAATCTAGGTGACGTAAAAAAACTGATGCAGATGATGACGTCATTGATTTTTGAAGAATGGTGTTTAAAAGTATCAGTGACGTGTGTGTGGACAACTGTGTTACATGTTTACTGGCGATATACTGATGCCATACGTCTATTACGTCATTGATTACGTGTGAATAGTAACGTCATGGTGCTTGAGTTAGTGATGATGACGCGCGAGGTGATGATGATTTCGTAGTTAATTAGATTAGATTTCATATGAGCGTGAAAAGGCGTATTGCAAGGTAACGATACATTACGGACATGAGGGAATCCATCGAACCAATAGCGATGCGCGCGCGATAATAATAAAATACTCGGGCGCGGCACGCATCGTCACGGCTACGGTACATGACGTCATACCGCAATTGTTTCACACTCCTACGATAATGTAATGGTGTAGATGACGTCTGCAATGACGTCACGACTTTTAATGTGTTTTCTAATAGTAACGCGCTTCTCGTATTAGTTGTGGTGGATCATATTTATACTCCGCGTCCCCTTGGATCCCCTGATCTATACCATAACCCTCTGGTGCTTTTGGCGGGTTTAGTACATTGTCACATCCAGGTTCTTTCTTATTTTTCATACAGCCAACATACGTCTCCACAATTTCCGTCACATAATTCAAAGGATAAGATCCTTGAGAGAGCAAATAGAAGTGGAAATCTTTCAGGTCAAACTCAGCGCCCAGTTCCCTTTGAGCGTAAGCCCTTGATTTTACAATCTGTTGGTGGCCAATCATATACGAGGTTGCTTGGCCGAAACCGGACTGGTAACGAGTCACCTCTTTTTCTGCCATCTCACTCTTATCCCAGGCGTACTTAGCAAAAAAGTCCAAGGCTTTTTCTCGAGACATTCCTTTATAATGTAAGCCGGCATCTACAACTAACCGAAGGGCTCGCCAAACCTAAAAGAGAGAGTGAAACCTTATAGTTAAAAAACAGGAACTCCAATTAAAAAATAGAACAGCTTTTTCTTGAAGCCAACTAAAATCTTGGTGCAATGCATTTGCAACGACCTTTAGGATTTCTTGGTATATTTTGTTAGCTTCTATCTTAGCGTTCCATTTTCTTAACGACATGAAAAATTGGATAGACGATCTTGCGCATTGCTTCACGGCTGTAATGAAGCAAAATAAGCTTGAAAGTCTTGGGCCCGGTCGTACGAAGCCGGGATAGCGCTATCCGGCGGATAAATCCTTATCCAGTGGATAAGTCGATGCTGTTTTCCCATAAATTTATCCACTGGATAAGATTTATCCATCGGATAGCGCTATCCAGGGTTCGTACAACCGGGCCCTGGTTAACACTAGCTTCGGAATACGGGATCGGAATGACCACCTCCACCTAATAATCCAGCTCTCTGGAATAACATACGAAGACTCAGTATCGCATACATCATCACTTAGGTGTAAAAAAAAGACAAGCACTGTTAATAAGCAGTASACTACGAATAGTCCCCTTCACAGTTTCCTGCGCCATCTTGAATGGTTGCAGTACCTTTGCATCGAAGCGAGACGAACGGTGAGCTCGCAATGATTGAGACGTGAAAAATTGTCTATCATTACAAGCTCACCGTTCGTCTCGCTTCGATGCAAAGGCACGACTACCTCTCAAGATGGCGCAGKAAAYWGTGAAGGGGACTTTTAGCTTTGAATGGTATAAATTTAAAGAACCAGTTTATACCTGCCACTTTATTAAACCATATTTATCCAAGGGTCGTTCATCATAGACGTCGGTTTCCTTGCCAACCAGCGGACTTTCTGCGTACATCCCCCAGCCCTCGATAAATGCCGAATAAAATGTGAGAGAGTCCAACCAGCTGATCACACCACCACATGTGTCACGAAAGCGCTCGTACATGCCTTGAGCCTGTCACGCAATMAGTCACGCAAACAAAGTTAAAACAACTAAGACTCGAGGTTTTGTACCATCAATTCACAGCAGCCATGTTGGATGGCAGGAACAATAGGACTTTCGCAAGTTCGCTCGAGTGACCACTAAACAATGGTTCCAATGTGTTCAAATTAACATTTGCTCTATTTTATCAAGTGCAACCTCGACTTGGAATGCCTTGGGTCACTCAAGCGAATACAGGTTTTGCAGCATCACGTGACGGCAGCCATGTTAGATGGCAGGAACAATACAATCGTTTCACATAAGAAAGAATTCAATTCCMAAGAGCAAAGGRATTTTATTGTTCTGCCATCTAACTATAGGCASCCCAAGCATTATAATGGGATGGGCACSTGATGGTGCAAAACCTCTGTTCGGGAAGCTCCTATTCAATCGTTTTACATGAGAAAGAATTTAATTCACTAGAGTAAAGGGATATTATTTTTCTGCCACCCAACATGACCCTTGTCACTCGATGGAGTAATCCCTTTATTAAACACAAGATCGCATCAGCTTTAAGCATCAYAAGTGCGATTTTTCAGCTGGTTCCACCCAATACTTCAGTATTATCGGTATGAGAAAGATAACAAAATGGGCACAGGGAGCCCACCATTGAAAAAAATTGGCTACCTGTGTATGGTGTCCAGGTCTTCCTTCGTGTGCAGAAGTGCTCAAAACTACCCATTTTGGCCCAAATCTTTTATTGAAAAACGAAACCTTATATAAAGCACTTTTCTTGCACGCTCGTCCTGCGGGCATGTAGTTTGCCCCTACTGACGGGTTCAGTTCTGGTTCAACATCTATGGGACAGTTTGGAACAGAGTACTTGTCTCCCGCAAAATGGAACATTCGGACAATCTTTGGGTAGATAAGGCTATTATACTGAAAAGATGAAAGATAATTAATGTGCGGTTGAAAATATAGTAGATGCCTGTGGTGCGCACTTAATTTCCCCTCTCTCCAACAGTGCTCTTTTTAAAGGGTATTCAAATATCGATCTACCAGGGATAGAGAGAGCTCGAAGAGCGATGGTCACTTTATTCCCCTCTCTCCATCAGTGCTCCGTTCAAAGGATATTCAACGCTCCATCTCTACGACGATATCTACTATACCTAAATGTGAGAAGTTAAGTGAAAAAGGTATGTATACTTATACTAGTTATAGAGGAGAGATGAGAGATGAGGCGGTAAGCCGTGTGGGATGGGCTCGGAAATCATATAAGAACATGCGTAATAGGTAAATTACGAGCCTTGTATGAAACGACTGAAGAAGAGGGCCAATGAGCCTTGCACAACTTCAAGTCGCGTAAAAAATACTAGTTATATAGTAGTTAGAGTAGCATGCATGGAATTGTCTCACGTGTACAATCAGTGAAAGGGTATTCAAAGCTCGATCTACCAGGGATAGAAAGAACTCGAAGAGTAGTACGCACTYTATCCCCCTCTCTCCATCAGCTGGGGTGCTCCTTTTCAAGGGTATTCATACTTAAAGAACTRTCAGATCGCGCTAGTTTCTTACCATTCGTATATCCGCAAACCACTTTTGAATAGCTTCCCATCGCTTCGGGCAGTATTTTTTAGCATCTTCAACSGTACTGCACATCTTGTAGGCGTTCTGGTCGGATTCGTTGGCAGGCATGTTTTCTTTGTTGTAAAACATTTCCGATGAGTTGAGCTTTTGTAGAAAAAGTTGAACCGCAGTTTCGTTATTTGATTGACTTGTTACTTTTTTAGCGAGGTTTAGAGCCTAAAAACGTGGGGGAAAATGGAAAATAAAAACACTTGAGTCGTTGATTAACGTTAATTAAGATTCTGTGCGCTGTTGAACCTCATATGTGAGGGATTAACGAAGAGATTGCGACACGAGTTTAAGCCGCCGGTGGGAATAGATTTATATGGAATGAAAGCGACAAAGCTGAGACATGAAATTAACTTATATATTTTACAACCATCACTCTCTGTAAGGGCTACCACTACTATCACTATTCACAACAAACAACACTAAACTCACATTGTTTTTATGGAGGGAGGAAAACCAGAGAACCTGAAAACCCCTCGTAGCACAGAAAAGAACGACACAACTCCCCAAAGAAACTCAACTCATTCATGTAGCTGTAGATATCAATGTACAAAATTTACCTCTGGATACAATTTATTGAGCAGTTGAATCCCCAGATCGTAAATTTCATCCGGCGTCATATTATTGGTCGTAAAGGCTCCTACCAACATCTTATAAGTGTTTTTGCCATTGAGTTTYTCCCCTGTTGGTAGCTGTTTTGTCGTGGGTTGACTTATGTTGGCWSTACCATTGACAWAGACGAATGGTAGCGGTAGAGAAGAGAGACCGCTGGACACAGTACTGGGGACGCAATGGACCATGTGCTCCGTTCGATAATACCTTWAAATCAGAMGAWAGGGGGAAAACCAGGATTTTTTATYTTTCTTTTGTTACACATGGCGGCCATGTTTTTTGCTACCTTGGCGAATRCTTGTTCAAAGTTTCTWRAATGTMATCATTCGCGACTCCGTTGAAAGCGCTCACTCAGTGTTACATGCATCCCGGGACATGCATATGAGCAAAGTTTTTTAAGTCTCTCCCTTATTTCAGGGTTTGATCTGTGAGTTAGCCGTGCCCTGACTTAGAGCAGCCCAGAGGTTGTTTCAGGGTTTGATCTGTGAGTTAGCCATGCCCTGACTTAGATCAGCCCAAAGGTTGTTTCACGGTTCGATAATATTGATATATGATTTTATGGTAGCAAGGCAAGCTCTTCATTTGCTCACAAACACCAAAGACCGTGCTAAATACAAAGCTATTAGTGTCTATAGGAAGTATTGACTAACCTGAAAAGGTTAGCAATTGGTTTACCAACATATTCAAGAATAAACTCTTTCAAAGATGCGTTAGCTGGTTTTCTATAGTTTGATCCCCATTTGCTTTTCTCATTGGCGTTCTGAGTAAAATTCAACAGGAAACTGTCGTTCAAGATGTCCTTAAGGAAGTCCTCTTTGAAAACACCTACAATGAAATAAAATGGTCTGAATTGAAACTGAATTACTCGCTAGTTGTTTGTTAGTTCTCTCCTGTGCTTCGAGGGATTTTCCCCGGGTTCTCCTGTTTTCTATCCTCAACAAAAACCAACTTTCTAATTCGGTCTACTTTGATCTACAAGGGCCTAAATTCTTATTCTAGTAACACCCGGTTAGCCCAGTTGGTAAGAGCGTCGGTCTGTTGTGCGGGAGGTCGTGGTTCAAGCCTCGGCCGGACCAACACTCAGGGTCTTAAAATAACTGAGGAGAAGGTGCTGCCTTTGTAATTACATCAAGGACTTAAAACCGTAGGCCCTGTCTCCCAACCCTTCCTAACCTACAGTCAAATGGGGGACATAAAAGAACCTGTTGAATTAGTAGTAGGATTAATTAATAAGAGTAGGGRATTGTCTCCCGGTTCAACAGCCTATCCCAATCTGGAGGCATTAATACTAACTTACTAACAAATCACTCATGATTGTAAGCTGCACGGCTGCTACTAGCGCCTAAATACGCAGTCCGTAAAGTCCTCCACTGGTCATGACTGTGAAGCGCATTGAGACAATGTAAAATGCGTTATATAAGAACCCCGATATTATTATTGTTATTATTAAATGTGTGCATTTTTTAAAAATAGGTGCAAACATACATACATGTATCCCAAAAGGATATATTTTTGAGTAAACGTACCTTGTTCTCCTTGATTTGCTATATTCCTATAGCGTGATTTTAAACCATTTATGCTTGCTTGGCATTCCTTCACTGTCCTTACAAAGCCAGCTTTAACCCCATACCTGAGGTTTTCTATATACTGATTAAACGCAAACTGAACCTGGCAATTCAATCATAAGGCATGGATGTTATTTTTTAAAAAAAGGGCAATAATAGAATACTAAAAGTAATGATTGCTTTTGAGAGTGGTTAAGGAGAGAGAGCGGAGAGGAAAAAAAGGCACAATCTATGGTTTAGTTCGATTCCCTGGTCGCAAGCAWCCGGAGAGGTGTCTGCCAACATGCGCAGCAAGTAAAGATACGACAAACGTTAATAATGAAAGATATTCGAGCGCGCGCATCCAGAGAGGTATCTACAAAAGCGCGCAGTAAGTATAGATGTGAATAAAGTTCATAACTAATGATAGTTCTTCGAGCGCGCGAATCCAGACAGGTCTTTACCAAAGTACACAGTAAGTATAGAAGCGAGAAAAAAATGATAATTATTCAAGCTGTTGCTTTACTCGAGCGCGTGAATCTGGATCGTAGAAGTTTGATTCTGTCAGCATGCGCAGTGAATATGAATGCACGAAAAGATGTTAATGATGGCTATACTAGTAGGGCGCGCGCATCCTGAGAATTCTCTGCTAACATGCGCAGCAAGCCTTGCAAGGAATAATGAAAATGATGGTTATTTGAGCGCGCGCATCAAGAGAGGTCTCTACCAACGTGCGCAATTCTGTCTAAAATTCAAAAACCTTTTTACTAGGGAAGCAAATCATCTCTATTTACTTTTGATAGCTACCTCCTTAAGCTTGTCACGCAACAGCTCCATGTCTTCTACGGTATTTGGCTTAAAGTAACGCAACGTTTTGGACAAATCAAAACCAACGTTACAGATAGGATCCCAGTTACACCAGAGGTTAGGACCAAGCAAGTAATCCCCTAGAATAAGAAAACCGAAACGTGATTAATCATAGGGTGCCGTGCGCGGGTATTTTATCCAAAATAAATTACTTTGACCTAAACCCTGAAACAACCTCTGGGTTGATCTAAGTCAGGGCATGGCTAACTCACAGATTGAACCCTAAAACAACCTCTGGGCTGATCTAAGTCAGGGTGTGACTAACTCACAGATTGAACCCTGAAACAACCTCTTGGCTGATCTAAGTCAGGGCATGACTAACTCACAGGTTGAACCCTGAAACAACCTCTGGGATGATCTAAGTCAGGGCATGACTAACTCACAGATAGAAACCTGAAACAAACTCTACTCACATGTGCTTCCGAGTCGAGGATCATAATCAAACACAAAACCCTAGAAGTGAGAAGGGTGTGGTACTAAATGGTTAAACCATCTTTGATTATCTTACGCACCTGCATAATAATTAGTGCTGTAGGTATTTCCATACATATACTTCAAGGAATGTTTCAACTGTGMTAAAGCCTTCGCTTCTCGTTGAGTAAGTTTTAACTTATTCAACTTCAATTGATTGGCTTCCTTCAACAATGCCATCGCTTGGTCCGTCACGTTTTTCTTTGATGCAGGCGAAGGATCGTACACACGAAACTTCTTACGAATCTCTGTCACCGAGACTGGGCGTTTGTAAGCAATTTTATTAGGGAATAATTCGTAGTATGATGTTTGTACTTTGTCTAGAAGTTTGTAGAGTCCATTCTCTTGTGCTTCGCTTGATGGTCGGCACATTATTTGGTATCGAGCTACGACAGAGGAAAACATATTGTAAATTAGTGCGTGCTACCAAAAATAGAGATCCGTATTTAAATCTCACACAGGTGTTTTGAGTTTGCGCACCGCTCTTCGAGTTCCCTCTATCCCTGGTAGATTCAGC